AGAATCTAGAATGAACAGTGGGAGGTCTGTACCTGGAATCCTTTTCGCATGCGCGCCAGATGACCCTGCTGGGTCTCTGGTACCAGAACCCCGTATGTAACCTCAAATTTGTTGAAACTCCGCTACCTTATAGTACCTATAGGACCCCTTTTAATGTCCAAAAAACAAGAACGTACAAGAACTTTAAGACACCTGCGAAAAAGTGAACATAAAACCACAGTTCTCGAAATGCCCTAAGCAACTGGAAAGAGTAGATCGACAGCCGTCGCTCCCTTTCACGGCTCTTCTTCAAGCTGCTCTTCGACCGTAGCCTTGCCGCAGTGTGGGCTCAGGGTCCCGGTGAGGTGTTTGGGGTTTCGGGTTCAGGGTTTATAGTTGCAGTGCGCAGAGTTTCGTCGCTCACACTCGGACAAGGCCAGGATGTCCCGAGTCGCACAGCACTCGCGCCGCCTTTGTCCAGTACACGCTGCCACGTACAAAACAACGCGCTAGCGCGCGAAGCAGCGATCGCTGTCGATCATTTGGGGTCTCCTTTCAAAGGACACCACGGTGCTCAGAACTGAATTGAAAAACGATTTATTTTCCCGAGCACATCATTCCTCCACTAGGCGGCGTAGGCAGGTTAAGACTTAAGACTGTCTGCTTTTCGGAGCCTCTCCGCCTGTAGAGGGGGCAATCTCTTGCCTCACTCAATGGCCAGGCCGAAAAACAAAGGGCGAGAATCCAAAAGCAGCCCTGCGGGTTCACTTTCGGGGGTGGTTTTGTATCGGTTTTTTCGGGGTTCGGTGTTTTTACGTACTGGGAAAAAACTTTTATGGGCAGGGGTTTGGGATAGCATGTATCGTGAACTTGTTTCGTGTGTAGTGATAACTGGTTGTTCTGGGGATTGCTATTACTGAGTTGTATGTAATGCACGTGGTGTGTAATGATGATGATGATGATGATGGTGGGTGATGATGATGATGGTGATGATGATGATGGTGATGCCGGCAGTGATGATGACGATGCTGATGTAAAGCAGTTGTTTGGAGTTCAGGCTGTAGAACAACATGCCAAACCCTTGGCTGTGCGTAGGGAACTTCGCAGCTTGATTTGTGTTCGCTTGAACAGAACGTCATTACTCCCCCCCACCCCACCCCCCCACCCCCCACCCCCCCACCCCCACCCCCCCACCCCCACCCCCCCAAAGAGCAAGCAGAGCACATGACCGAAAACAAAATCGACGCAAACAACGCAGAAAAGTTCAGGGAAGTTTGGAGCTTGATTTGTGTTCGCGTATCTCGTGTGAGTCGGGGTTCCCATGTTTCTTCGTTGTTCTGTTTCCTGTCAGTAGCACGCTTGCACAGGGAACTTCGCAGCTTGATTTGTGTTCGCTTGAACAGAACGTCATTACTCCCCACCCCCCCAACCCCCCCCCCAAAGAGCAAGCAGAGCACATGACCGAAAGCAGCAACGAAGCATAAAACGCAGAAAACGCAAAGCGGCAGACATCCCAAAAACATGCCTGCAGAAAGTCAGGAATACAGCACGCAGGCCACGTTTTTCGATGTTCCGACGAATTCGCAACCGAAAATGTACTACCAAAAACGACGTCGTTTTTGGTGCAAAACACAAAGACAGCGCGAATCAGACAAAACACTCGGCTACCAAGAGCGGAACACATGTAACAAGGCGAAAACCTCGCGCTGGGCGGTGTTTTCCATGTGCCGGAAGGGCCGTGCGAAGGAGAAGGGCATACAAAGGCACATAAACAACAGGAAAAACCACCCCCGAAAGTGAACCCGCTAGGAAAAGCAGGGCAGAGAGGTTTGGATCCACAGCTTGTGCTACACAACATAGGCTCAAGGTTCCGCTCCTGCCTTCGGGGCCACACCTCAAAGCAGAGTATTCGGTTTTAGCCGGCTGTACACTCTGCATCGAGCCAAACACCCTAAATCCCAAGGCCTACTTATAGGGGCCTTAAGAAGTAGAATCAGGTTTTGGGGCCCAATTATACTATAAGTAGAATGGTAATCACGAAGGCCCCTATGTCAAATCCCAAAGACCCATAGTCAGGGGCCCGATGATGCCCGATGGAAGATGACTCTGCAGAACCGATCACTCCTCGCACCAGTGCGGTTTAGGGTTTAGGGTCCTTTCGGAGGTTTAGGGTTTAGGGTCCTTTCGGAAGGCACACTTCGAGCAGCCAGCGAGGTACCTGATCGTGAAAAGCACGAAAGAAATGGCGATCATCGTGATGCTGAAGATCGAAGATCCAGGAAGGAGTCCACTGGAAGTCCGTTGACCCCAAATGTCCAGATCCCAAGCACGTAGCTCAAAAACCACAGCTCCCAACACGAAGAGGAAGATAACCGATATGATGACGAGGTTGCCCATTATGTCGCAAACGGCCCAGGCATGCCTGCGTTGCATGAGGTACGAAAGCCTCACTGCGATCAAAACTGTTACGGGCGCCACGCCGAAGGCCCATGCCAGACCTCTGACGAACTCGCGGAGAGTTCCCCAGGAGGGGCCTGCCATTGGCGCGGATATTGCTGCCGTCCCTTCCTTCGAGGTCGAGAAAATGTATCGTCGCAACGGAGTCCATGTAATGCCAAAGTATCGGCATGGCTGAAACAGCAATCTGCTTGTACGTGAAAACCTCCCTGGACAGCTGGTCTTGAAGACGCTGCAAAACAGCTGTTCGCACGAGGGCTTCGAAATTCTCGACACTACCGAACCAGGCTGTGATGCACTTGCACTGGAGAATGACACGGCGATCACATGTCAGAAGCTTTCCGTCTGGACTCACATGGCCGATGCTGCAGCAGTAGGATGTGCTGTCGTCGACGACAAACTTGCCGATATCCTTCTCTAGTGCCTGCACATAGCGGAAGTATGCCCGTAGCTTGACCACGCTGAAGTAGAAGCCGGTAAATATCAACAGCCCCAGTACCGGCCACATGACGACAACTCGGAGAAACTCCAGGTCGCCTTCGAGGTGCGCCTCGGGGGGGAAGAACATCAACACGAGCATCACATAGGACAGAGCGATCGGCATGGAGATGAAGCAAGGGCCCAGCATGGTTGGCCTGATAGTCAGCTTTACCTCCCTCCCATCAACTTGGCGACTATGTAAGAATGCAGCCAACTCGAAGACGCACCAAAGACGACTAGTAGACGCACCAAAGACGACGGCTCCATGACGGATCCCAAAGGACGACCAAAGAGTCGGAAGCCTTGAGAAACGCACCCATGCTGACCAGCCCGAGCGCCTTGTTTCGTGAGTCGCCCTGGTCGATGCACAAGACATCCAGAAAAACCTTCTGCTGCGGTCTCCACAGGAACATGACGATACAATAGACCACTATGCACGCGACACTGATCCACCACGAACTAGTTGGATATAACTTTTCGCCAAACTGAAGAGCTGGCAAGAAGCCGTAGGCTTGCAGAAACATCAAGACAAAGGAAACCGAGGTCGCTACCAGTGCTGCCACCATGCCATTATTAAGGTATATAGCCGTCAGAACCTTGTTCCATGTTGGACCGTGCCAACTGTGGCTCCAAAACTGCTCGATTTTCGCCGTCTGAAAAGACACACGAAAATGATGTGCCGATGCTCGTCCCCGAGCCCGAAACACACGGCCAAATCCCTTGACGACTTCGTAAGCAGGAACAGCCTGGATGATGTCTGGACGAACTGGCTCCATTCTAGACATCAGCGTGGCCACAGCTCCTTCGTTTTCTGTCAGGCTGGCTGCGACATCGTTCTCGGATGACGGCAAGGAATGCTCACTGGCGGTTCCCTCATTGGTTTCATGGCTGTTGCGACCGTCAGAAGACGACACGTCGCTGTCTTGTACCGTGATCCCGTGTGGATTGTCTTCCGGCTGAGGGATCCGCACGTCTGCAAAGGACACATTCATCTCAGCAGGCGGCAAATCATCAGCCGATGTCGGGGAGCGCTCGGTGGGTACAAATTCCGACCATTCGCACTGTTGCTCAGTCGGACCCTCTTCTGGCAGGTTCGATGCCATGTCTGCGAAGGAGAACTACGACACTATGCGAAACAGCACAAAGCAACGGAGAATCTATGGCCCTTGTCCTGGCATTGTTAAGTCCTTGCGGTATCTATTGCCGCTGTCTCATCCCAAGCTGGTTGAAGCTGTCGTCTGAACCCCAAACCGCGTAGGCCTTCAGCAGTGGCGTATGATGATTTCTATCGCTAGCTTTTCCTAGGCTTGACCGGCTTAATTATTAGTCGGATTTGGGGTCAGGAGCTAGGTTCGGTTTGTAGCACCCTCGTTCCTCGAAATTGTTCACCCTTAATTGTGGTGGGCTCATGATGTGACGAAGCTATTATGCCCTAAACCCTAAACTATACTGAACTTAGAACCCTAGCAACAATTATAATTTCAGATGTTTCTTAGGGATTATAGTACCAAAAAAATATCAATTACTTCTAAGTACCCCTATGTAAACCAGCTGAGGGTTCTTGGTAGGACTTTCGGGTTTTTGTGGGCGCAGTCCTTGGTCCCTGAACCCTCCTCCTGCGTCCGTGAACGCACCTGATGATTGCAGGTTGGGTACAGCACCCACTCAGTAATAGTTGTATTTATTCATAAGATAGATATAGTAGGACCTTAATAGTAGTCCTATTATAGACTCTTACTGTATGGGGGCCGTACCTTAATTACCCGCTATGTTCCCCCGAAGGATCCATGTACCCAAACTGGTCCTAAGCTACCTATATAGGAACTACTCCAAACAGTATATACATTGGTCCTAAGCTACCTATATAGGGACTACTTCCAGTCCAAAGTATGTACTTTATGAGTACATGGACCCTTTTGGGTCCACCACGATGTGGGAGTTTCCGAAAGTGGGGGACCCTAAATATAGTACCCGGATCATTGTTATAAGGACCCCAAAATAAGGTACCCCTAACTTTCGGAAACTCCCATGTGGCTCTGGGAATCTCACAAACCCCACCCGTGCCTCTCCAGCATGGTGCTCATGAGGCAGCACAGATGCAGAGATGCAGAAGCACCTCGCGATGAGGTTGGAAAACCTTTGCTGTCAGCTACCCATATGCCCCAAAGTAGTTCCTTTTTGGGTTTATAGGATTCTAGAATGAACCCCAAAAAGGAACTATTATGGGGCCCATGGGTAAGCCATAATCGGCAGTTCGCTGCAGCTTACTCACGCGGGTTCGGCAGTGTCCACGTTCTGCCTGGATTGAAGACAAGGCCCAGTTGGGCTTATAGGTTTTCCAAGCAACCCCAGCAGTCCCCAAAGTGGGGCTGAGTCATGACTTTTCTACTTTACTAAGCATGCCTCCATGTCTCATGGAAAGGTGTGTGGGGTTCTGCGGCACTAGCTCGCGCTGAATATGACTGAAAAAACCTTTGGTAGATTAGGCAGGTTAGGAAGGCTGGAGGGGGGTGAGTCGGTAGGCCAGGTAGGTAGGTGGGTGGGCAGGTGATGTAGGTAGGCAGGTCGGCAGGTGCACATGTAGGCAGGAGCAGGGAGGGAAAGGTCGGGGACGGGAGGGGTAGCGGCGCATGTTTCTCCATGCGCGTATGTTGCTGTCTCGGGCTTTAAGTGGAATTCCCCACACACACACACACACCAACAAAAACAGCGGCAAAACCAGCAGAAAGGTGGACTTCGCTTGAGCTCGAACTGCATTGATGCACCTTCAGTGGTAAACCTCAGAGCCTGTTTCGTGCGAGACCCCAGTTCCCTCAGAGTCTCAGATGGCTTAAGAGAGGGCTCACTAATCAGGGTTCTACATTCTGCATCACTCGAAATCGTGACTGAAATCCTGAACCACATCATGCGCCCTGCAGCTCGAAGGCCTTCATGCGGATAGTTTTTGTCATTTCCGTCCTAGCCGTATATAGATGCAACCGCAGGAAGATGTGCCCTAACAGCAAGACCGAAAAATTCCGCGACAAACTGCAGATGTGTGGATATGTCTGTCTCAATGCATGTATGTATTCTGTCTGACTGTCGGTCTGTCTCTCTTTCTGCACGCATGCATGCATGCATGCATGCATGCATGCATGCATGCATGCATGCATGCATGCATGGATGGATGGATGGATGGATGGATGCGTGTGTGTGTGTGTGCACTTATGTATGTATGCATATTTTTTTTGTGTATGTACATGATTGCACATGCTGTATATGCAAGCCCTGAACCGTATTATAAACCTGAAACCCGACTTCGACCCGGTGCCTCTATTGAGCTATCGCCATATCTCAGAAGCACGACCTGAACCCTCATGCCACGGTACAGGGTTTGGGGATGTAGGGTCCCTACACCCTAAACCCAAACTTTGGCAGGGCGCCTACAGCTCAGTGCAACGGGCACCAGCATGGGGAGGCCTGGCACCAACTGTCGAGCGGATTGCTCTAAACTTGTCTTGCTGCCCTATAATGGGCTATACAATGAGTATATGATAGCTATGTTAAGGGTATATACCTAGGGGTCCTTATTAAGGGTCCCTCCTTTAGTTCTAAAATGTTCTAAACTTGTCTTGCTGCAGGTCACATGCACTGCGGCAAAGATACCTTCCGACCTTTCCTCAAAGCTATCACAGACTTTGCCTTTCTTTGGGCTTGAAGACCTTTTACACTCACCCCCCTTTTTGCAACTGGCTTACAACGTCACGCCAGGACGGCTGACTCACCCCCTGAGCCCTAAACCCTAAACTAAACCCTAAACCCCCTACACCCTGTTGTAAGTGTTACCTGTAGGGCCCCTAAGCAGCCGCTGGATTGCTCGGAGAGATCCTCTGTATGGGGCGGAGTTTGACACTGCGAAAGCAGGCTTTGTGGGCATCTTCGCCCTTAGTGGTGAACCTGAAGTTCGCGCGAGAGGGGAGGAGGGGGCGAGAGAGAGAGAGAGAGAGAGAAGAGAGAAGAGAGAGAGAGAGTGCGACAGGGAGCGGGAGAGGCAGAGGGACGGAGAGGGAAGGTCTCGAGAAGATCCAGCATCCCTCTGTCTCGGTTCGTCAGCAGCTACGTACCGCCCCTAACGTCTGAATCCCAAACCGCCAAGCCTCTAGTCTAGGCCCCACCCCCACGAAGCTCTAATCACCGAAACACAATCTCTTGAAAAATCGTGCAGACACCCTTCGGATGCCACGCCTTACGAGGCATCGCGGGCGAGCACTGCATGGCTCCCTAAACCAGAAGCATCCTTTGCATGGCCCCCCGCTTACGACAGTTCGGGGAGAAAGGCGTCATGGCTTGGAGCTAATCAGTTTATGGGACGTTTGGGGTGCAGAGGTCCTAGGGTGGCTGAATGATGACTGCAGGGCAGAGCCTGAGGTTAAGTCTTGTGAGCGGCAGGACTGAACATTTTGCCACATCGACGTTTCGGGTTTGAGCTCATCTTCAGCTTTGCACTTCACACTTGCAGCCTCGAGAATGTGTGGCAGGGTGTTATATCCAGCCAATATCTTCGAGTCGTCGCCATTCAATAGACATACAGCAGCTTCAGCGGGGCTCAAGCCGGAACGACACAAACCACGCTGCGGCTGACTGACCTTGCTCCTCCAGAGTACTTAACACTAAACCTCAAGCCCTAAACCCCAAACTCAAGCCTGATTCTTAAACCCTTCAAACCCAGACTCTGCATGATGAGAGTGAGCTGGGAAGCAAAGGGTTTCACCTAAGTGTGACTTGGCCCCCAAAGATTAGCACTCACGTACCCACGGGTTGACAGGGTTCGGGGATTTGGGTTTAGAGTTTAGGTGCACGACTTGGTTTCTGCTCGGCATCGCAGGGTTCGTGCGATTAGGATTGATAGGCCAGCGATCAGGAGGCCCTACGAACAGTCATAGGCTCCCTTGTTATGCAGGTTGCTGTAAGGAAGTTCTTCTAGAAAGTCACGTGGTGCCTGATTTTAAGAGTATGGTGTGGTGAAAAAGTATAGTCTAATTTACCTACAGATAGGGACCATCACTGGGGCAACTCGTATCAACTATTCCCGCGATCATCCAAGAAGCCCGCTTCTCCCCCCCTGTCTTGCAAATAGATGGGCCCCTGCAGAAGTCGTGCCTGCTGCGTTGCCACTCCAGGAGAAGTTGGAGAAGCCGCTTCCGTGTCGGACCTGTCTTATGGCTCCATGTCGCGTTTCGGGCTTGGGGTCTTGATGCGAGACTCCAGAGAGGCTTTTGAAATAACGACCCTTAAAGGTATGCCTCTTTCAAGCGTACAGACTTTCGGTGTCTTTCTGGTATTTCTCCGCTGGTTGCATCCTCATCGTGCGAAACCATTATGCCAACAAACCAGGTGTCTGAAGTACGAGTTCTGTGCCGTGGAGCTTCTCGCGCAGCCGGCTCATGACAGTCATATTGCTTATCCACGCTCCAGAAATCTGGTTACATAGCATTGCAATCAGCTAAACCCTTCCATTTCTTGATGGTTGCAGTGACTCCTGACGCCACAACCTCGTCTCGGTAAGCCTGCACTACGAACTTAGGGATCTGCATCCGTACGTATGTGTACTGAATGTCTTCAACAACAGCAAGAAGAGCAAACATCTATTCATGCCAGATACTGTCTAAGAAACAAGATAGCAAACAGTGCTATACCAAATACTCTACACCCTAAGTAGTTTGGGCTCTTTGTCTGAAACTCCGCTCTATTCCCGAGTTCCAAAGAAACCCTTGCGGCCCGAACGTGGTGAAAAGTTCTATCACTTTAGGCACGGCTTTGCCGATATAGCACGAGGGCAACAAAACCATACCTAAGCGGTATCATGCAGTCATGATATGAACACATGCTTGCCGACATGTGTCCGGTGTCATTTGCACGCATGACGATTCTACCCGTCGCTATAGATCTATGCGGGGTGTCATGCTCCGTTACATGGCATTGCACGTACTTTGCACTGAAGATACATTACTCTGCCATGCTGATTACACGCCCTGCCAGCACTGGCAGGCCACTTACATTTGGGGGATTTCGGGGACCCTAATATGGTACCCTAAATAGTGAGATCCTTATTATACGGACCCCAAAACAAGGTACCCCTATTTTCGGAAACTCCCATTTTCTTTCGTAGGACAGAAGTCTAGCCCCGACCGGCTGGAACCAGAAGATTCGCGAGAAAGAGGCCCCCTGAAGGCTAACAGAGAACCACAAGCAGCTAGTTACCCAGAAACTCAGATATCCCTTCATTAAAGGAATATACCGGATACCTTAAATCATATTAGGGATCCTCCGATAGTTCAAGGTATCTGCCTTAATTGAGGGATATTGGAGTCTCTGGGTAATCCAGACCTGCTCGCTATAAGCCCGAAGGTGAAAACCAACCGACCTTCGAAAGCAGAACGGTGATTTCCATGCCAGAGAAAGACTCTCTGTCCGAACCCTGAACCCTTTTGAACGAGGTCTCTCTGAAGTGCCTGCAGCAACCCTAAACCCTAAACCCAATAAACCCTAAACCCCAAACCCTGGACCCTAAACCCTAAAAGCGCCAAACCCTTCCAGAGGTCTCTCTAGCATGTCTTAGGGCTTAGATCAGGATCGCTTGAATTCAATTCAAGCGTCGCGAGGCCACTTCTGACGTAGAGGTCTTAACGATTAGACTGGGGTTCGGGAACATAAAGGGTAGCAAAAAAACTACACTCCAGACCCCTATGTGCTACTTATGCTACTTTTCCCTCTACAGTAGAACCCCAAAAGTTTGAAACCCAATAGCCTCAATCCTTAAGAGTACTGTATGGGGAATCCCAGCACTATTTGGCCTACATCCGGTTTCCAACTCTGTGGGCTTTACAATAAATTGAAAAGCACCGGGGTACATTGTTTGGGGGTCCTTATAATAAGCATCCTACTATTTGGGGTATTATATTAGGTCCCCTATTTTCGGAAACTCCCAAATTGAAAAAAACTGGGATGGACTGGGGGTCGGTCTCAAAGTCTGAGTCGTTGTCTCCGTACTCGAACATGGCCGATCGAACCATGCCTTGTGCGTCCTGCGCTAGCTGAAGGAATC